TGGGACTCACTGACTGGGACTCACTGACTGACTAGGACTCACTGACTAGGACTCACTGACTAGAACTCACTGACTGGGACTCACTGACTGACTAGGACTCACTGACTAGGACTCACTGACTAGGACTCACTGACTAGAACTCACTGACTGGGACTCACTGACTGGGACTCACTGACTGACTAGGACTCACTGACTAGGACTCACTGACTAGAACTCACTGACTGGGACTCACTGACTGACTAGGACTCACTGACTAGGACTCACTGACTAGGACTCACTGACTAGAACTCACTGACTGGGACTCACTGACTGGGACTCACTGACTGACTAGGACTCACTGACTAGGACTCACTGACTAGAACTCACTGACTGGGACTCACTGACTGACTAGGACTCACTGACTAGGACTCACTGACTAGGACTCACTGACTAGAACTCACTGACTGGGACTCACTGACTGGGACTCACTGACTGACTAGGACTCACTGACTAGGACTCACTGACTAGAACTCACTGACTGGGACTCACTGACTGACTAGGACTCACTGACTAGGACTCACTGACTAGGACTCACTGACTAGAACTCACTGACTGGGACTCACTGACTGGGACTCACTGACTGACTAGGACTCACTGACTAGGACTCACTGACTAGAACTCACTGACTGGGACTCACTGACTGACTAGGACTCACTGACTAGGACTCACTGACTAGGACTCACTGACTAGAACTCACTGACTGGGACTCACTGACTGGGACTCACTGACTGACTAGGACTCACTGACTAGGACTCACTGACTAGAACTCACTGACTGGGACTCACTGACTGACTAGGACTCACTGACTAGGACTCACTGACTAGGACTCACTGACTAGAACTCACTGACTGGGACTCACTGACTGGGACTCACTGACTGACTAGGACTCACTGACTAGGACTCACTGACTAGAACTCACTGACTGGGACTCACTGACTGACTAGGACTCACTGACTAGGACTCACTGACTAGGACTCACTGACTAGAACTCACTGACTGGGACTCACTGACTGGGACTCACTGACTGACTAGGACTCACTGACTAGGACTCACTGACTAGAACTCACTGACTGGGACTCACTGACTGACTAGGACTCACTGACTAGGACTCACTGACTAGGACTCACTGACTAGAACTCACTGACTGGGACTCACTGACTGGGACTCACTGACTGACTAGGATTCACTGACTAGGACTCACTGACTAGGACTCACTGACTGGGACTCACTGACTGACTAGGATTCACTGACTGGGACTCACTGACTGACTAGGATTCACTGACTAGGACTCACTGACTGGGACTCACTGACTGACTAGGACTCACTGACTAGCACTCACTGACTAGGCCTCCAGAGGAAAAAACGATTCCAAAGAAATGCAGTAACAGTTTTATTTGTCAGTGACAAACATGTAATAAACCATTTCATGTACAATTGTTTCTCATGGTGACTGTGTATAAACGGTGTTTTCTGATTTGATAGTTTGAACTTTGACAAATTAAATCAGTCAAAGTACAGCCGACACCTACGTAGTGAAGATATATAGAATATGTACATCAGACCTGCAACATCACAGAATTCGGTTCTTGTTTAAATTAAATAGAAACAAACAACAAAGACCAGGTATCAAAGCACAAAATGGATTTCAGTGTGCAAATAATCAGAGACTGGCTCTGTGGGTTTGACCAACAGCAACACATTTATTTGGCCCAAGCTTTGACCAGTGGCTTGTTGCGGTAGATCGATAGGAGCAAAAAGCTGGTTGATGCTGCCGGTGACGTTGAGAGGGGAAACTGTGTCCAACAGTTTGTTGTCTTTGATTCGTCCTCTCTACATGTACCCTTAAACATGCAATGTCCTGAGTGAGCAGCACTTCATCAACCTTGCAGGTCATCAAATCTGGATCCCTTATCCACCGTTACAGTCATGTCTCTGTCCAAAAGAGGGTTAATGCCAGATTCCCTGAACAAGTCCTCGTCACTGACCGAGCCTGAATACAACAAGGAAATAAAAGTTACAGCACCATGCGGTGACATACCGATCAGTGCCTTCAGGGCAGGGTGGGATTTATACTGTGAATACATCTCACTCTGTCAGAGTAAAGATGAAGGCACCTGACATGATCTCATCTCTGTACAGTCAGCTATGACTTGGGTGTCTGAGTACTTGCCCAACACACTCGGCATATTGGCTCTGCTTGCCTCAGGAGACATCCTAACCCTACATGTCCTGATTGTCCTGCTGACGGTGGACTGATGAACGTTGAACCGATCGCCCAGATCTTTCTCCTTCAGACCCAGTGACAGGTACACCAAGAACAGGAACAGCTCGTCAGTCAGTGGAATAAAGGCATCGGCCCTGTTGGTGGGTGGCGTGAGACGGGTCCTTGTCTTAATGACACTCATGGCCTGGTCATAACAAGTGGTGCTTTTACTTATATTGAATTACCAGAGAGGAGTGTTCTCTTGGTGTTGCTTGTAAAAACAAAATGCTGTAGTATGAACTATGCCTACCGGTCGACAAGGTGGATCAGCAGGACCTGGTCCGGAGCTGCTGCTGTGGTGGAAGTGGACGCCTGTGTCCGAGCACGTACCGTTCTCTTCATCGCAGGTTCAGTCTGTTTCCAGAATTAGAAATATAGGATAATGACAGAAATATAGAGCTTAACCTTTGATGTTCACCCTGAAAGATCTTGGCAGGAGGCAGTGGCAGGTACAGTAGCCTAATGTAGCTCCTGTCAGCATCACTGAGCGCTCGGCCCCGTGTCGCTGTGTTTAGGGTTGTTTTGTTACGATTCCTTGACATGGCACACTGAGGAGCAAAGCACAAACTGCTGCTAGCATCATCCCGTTTCTGGTACTTCACCTTTTTTCTCTTTCTTCACTGATTTAACTAAAATATAACATGGAAAATATAAAATATAACCGCAGCAAATTAGATAGCTAGCTAAAAGTTGTCGCTAGATAGTAGTCGGGTTTTGTTTTTACTGCACAGTTGATCGAGTCGGGAAAAGCGGAAGCGAGTTGACCAAGTTTCCGGTTTGGTCATGTGACCTTGGGCATAAGGCCTGTTACAGCCTGAATATACACATTAGAATGAATCAAAGACTAAACTTTATTTTCTGCTACACGTAGATCATAAACTCATGGATATAAAGACGACTCACTGCAACAGGTGGAAAAATATAAATATTACAGTGTTTTGTTTTTTTTGCGCTCACACCGACACCACTGCTGTCACTTTCTGCCACCAGTTTGGCTCCGCCCACAAAACACGTCATCACTGTGACGACTGCTGACTGATTTTTAAACTCCATTTTAAATCATCTTTTTATCTTTGCACCTCTTGTCTGAACTGTTGCTGTTTTAATGTGTTTTTTATTTTAAATCATTTAGTAATTAATCTGACCTGTGATATCTTTTCTCTTTTCTCACTGTAAATCTGTATCCTCATTATATGTTTTATATCTTACTGCTCTGTGAAGCACAGGTGTGGACGACCTCAGAGTGACGCCAGGCTTCACTTCATTCGAGCCTTAAATCATGACTGTGCGTTGAAGCGTTCAAGAGTAGCATCCTTTATAACATGGGTATGTCACCATGGTTACCAAGGCTCCTTTTGTCCTGTTTGGAAACGCTGACACAAACTTTTGGAAGCACGTGTGTGAAGTCATTTTCTGTGGCCCTGTCATGAAGCTGGAGCTGAGACCAGATCAGCTCTGATACTTTGGCTGCAGCATCTTTTTCAAGAACAAAACCTTTTTATTTCAGTGTGTTAAAACTTGTTAAACTTATTGACAGACGCATTTACAGTGATTGACTGTTCAGATTGTTACCTTTTAACGTACAGGTCCGAAATACAGAACGAGAGCAGCTTTCAGTTTCCTGTCTGCTCTGGAGAGGTGATATCACAGATGGGCAGAAATACATCAAAATGTACTTTGATACAAAATACTCCTCAAATAAATGTATTAAAATAAAACACATGTATTTTGTATTTTCAAATACAGAAAATACTTTTTTCTTTCTCTTTATAGCAGTGACCCGCAGCTCTACAGGTCACTCAGTCGGTCGGTCCACACAGCTTTTGGTGAATAACTCAAAAAGTCCTTGACCAAACATGCTCAAAATGTGCATGCTGCAGCCAGAGACCATGAGTAACTATACCAGAAACAATAACCATGATTCATCCATTAATGGCGTGATAGCAGCAAATGTGGTCGCAGCTATTGTAAATTTGCTCTTGTTTTCTCAAAGTTTGGTGAAGCAGAGTATTCAGGTTTGGGCTGTAGGATAAACACAGTTAGCATAAGCAGCGCTAGCTTGATATTATAACTATCATCACCATGTATTTATACAACAGGCTGTGTAGCCAGACCCAGACACACATCATACATCAGGTGACATCTGTCACACTCAGATAAAATATTTACCTTGACAAACAATCTGTTGAACTTGGAAGACGTGAGCAGCAAGGTCGTCTGCTGGTAGTGTGGGTCCATGCACGTGAGCAGCATGTCTGGAAGTCCAGTCTAACGTTAGCTGTGCTGTGAACTGTCCACCAACGGTCGAGCTGAACAGCAGCAAGATACTGAAGCTAGTTCACTTGTTTGCTGTCTAACTTGGAGCCTGTGTTCAACTTTTTCAAATGACAGAGAGAAAAGAAAGCTAAGGACATGTAGGCTACCCTAAAATATTATTTATTGATTCAGATTTAGATTCAGACAACTTTATTGATCCCACGTGAGACAATTCATTTGCAGCATACTGTAGCATCAACCACAACAACATACAGTTTCCTATGTTATGCACAGTCCAGTGAAACAGACCACGAGGTCACTGAAGGGCCCGAGTTTGAAAAAACATATAGATGAAAATATTAAGAAGAAAATAAGTAAAAAAAATATTGTTACATCCAATATTATTATTATAAGAATATGTTTCCATTATTTTTGTTTTTTGATTTGTGGAGAAAGTATTTTGAGTATTTTAAATACAAAATTACTCCACTCAAAAGTATTTTGTTACAAATTACATTTGCTTTTTATCGGCCTCATCAAATACTAATTACAAAATACTCAAATGTAACTGAAATACGTATTTTAAATAGAAGCAATAGAAATACTGCCCGTCCTGGCGGTGATATCAGAGAACATTACAGAGCTGTGTGATCCACTATGTGTCTGTAACACACTGTGTTCACTACGCTGTAAAGTCTTTGAATAACAAGCGCTAGCTTCAAGGCTCTGAAGGGAACGTTCTGGGCAGCAACAAGAAACCAGCATCCACTTCATCATCAGGTTTCTTAGAGTGCGGTGACTCATTTATTTCCAGGTGCTCAGCTCTCACAGGTAAACACTGTTAATCTCAGGTAGGTTTCCACTTCACAGTCTGAGTGTGTCACAGCTCAGTGTCTAAGTCTCCATCCAAACTCTTCATGCTGCCACACTTCACCTTCAAAAAACTGTTTGCTTGCCCCGTCACACACCTGCTGCTCATCACCTTTACCTTACCCATATCACCTGCCTTTTCCTGCTCTAGTGCGCCACCCTGTGTACAAACAACAAAACTGCATGAAGTCACCATTTTTTAATTGCGGCCCCAACATATGCTGTCTGCGGTCTAAAGCAGATTCTGAGCTCTATTATCCCGTTTCCAAACAGCATTCATTTGGTTTTGCTCAGATTTAATGAGAATTAGTTTGAATCAAACCACATGTTGAATTTATTCAGTTCTCATGTGACATCCTCCAGAAGCTGCTGGAAACTGTCCCCAGAGCAGAACATATTCTGTCATCCACACAAAACACCACTGTCAATATTTCTGAGCCTTTCCTTTTCTTCTTCAGCACAATGAATAAATGTTACACACACTGAACAGTGTTTCATGTCTCCCTCTACAGTCTGTGTGTATGATGTTAATTCATCTACAGAAGAGACTTGATGATGATCACTGACATGAGGACGGAAACAAAGTTATGGGCCAAATCACTTGTTATATATCAGCAACAAATCCAACATGGTGCATCTGTCTGACTGCTGTGAGTCATAAACCATCAGATCTGAAACACGTCTTTCATTCCTGTTGTTCTACAGTCACAGAGACCTTCAGTGGTAAAACCTTCAGTGGGAGATCATCCCCAGAATAAATGAATGGAAACATCCTCTCAGTGAAAGTGTGTGTGAAGGTGTGTATGTGTGTGTTAGTATCAGGATCAGAGAACGACAGTTTTCCTCCGTTACAGTCCAGATTGACTCTGATCCTCTGGAGCTGCCTCTCAAAGGAGAGAGCAGTGTCTTGATGTGGTGGGGAGACTGCTGTGTATTCACCAGACCAGAACCATATTCTCCATAATCCAGAGTGTATGACTCCTTTCCTCTGGACAGACTCTGCTAACACACCCAGTTCCCAGTATGTATTGTCTCCAACCTCGACGTCCCAGCTGTGAGTCCCTGAGTTAAAGCCCTCAGAGCCCAGGACACACCAGTAGTTTAACCTCTCTGGATTATCAGGAAGCTGCTGTCTCTGTCCTCGTCTCACACTGGTCAGATCTTCAGACAGGATGAGATATGGACCAGCAGTGTTTGGGTCCAGGATCAGAGGAGTGTAGGAGACCATGTCCTTCATCTTGTTCCAGATGTTGAAGGTCAGGTTGCCCAGGTGTTTGGCCTCGTCTATCAGAGCTCCTGAGAGCAGCTGTGGATCATCCAGCAGGGGGCGCTGCTGGACTCTGTCCACTGCAGCCTTGTAGTTGAGCAGGAATGAGACGTCTTCAGCTCTCAGCTCGTCCTCTGTGGCTCTGGCTGTGTCTGAAAGAGCTGCTATCTCTCTGCTCAGAGCCTCCATCTTCTCCTTCATCATCTGACTCTTCTGCTCCTCTTCCTCCCTCAGTGCAGCCATCCTGGCCTCCTCTTCCTCCTCTAGAAACTGGTGAAGCTTCTTGAACTGCTCCTTAATCTGCCTCTCTGTGCGTCGGGCCTGGACCTTCATGTGTTCTGCTGTTTGTTCACACTTCACTTTAACTTGTTCACAAACCTTTAACTTCTCCTTTAAGGGCTCCAGAGTTTCCTCAAGTTCCTTCTTGTGTTGTCGTGCAGCTTCATCGACGGGTCTGAATCTGTGGTTGGTGTGTTTTTCTGAATCTCTGCAGACGAGACAAACTGGCTGCTGATGGTCCAGACAGAAGAGTTTGAGTTTCTCAGAGTGCAGACTGCAGAGAGCCTCTGAAGCTCTCTGATCTCTCTCCTGTAAGAAACTCTCACACAGCTTCTTTAGAGCCAAGTTAGGAGGTACTAAGCCCTTTGAGTGTCTTCTCTTACAAACTGGACACTCACGTGCTGGTTTCTCTGTCCACCAGTTCTGCAGACAGTCTTTACAGAAGCTGTGGCTACATGACAGGATGACAGGATCTTTGAACATGTCACAGCAAACAGGGCAGCAGAGATCGTCCTCTAATCTGGAAGCCATTTTGTCTCTGAGTGACGCTGTGAACACAGCAGGCAGACAGCTCAGCCACTTCCTGTTCCCTCAGAGTTACTTTCACTTTGAGTCCTTGTTGCTGTAAAACTCTGGTTCAGTGTGAGCAGTCAGTATTCCCAGTATTCCCAGTATTCCCTCCTGGAGCTGTCCTCTGGTAGTGGAAGTGGTGCTTCTGGTCCAGAGGTGAATCTTATCGTCCATCTCTGACTGTGTGTCTTCTCTCAGTGACTCAGGCAGAATAAAAACTTGTTTCCTGGTTTGTCTCAGGTGAGTCACATGAGGGGCGGAGCTTCTTCACAGCAGCAGCACACAGGACTGGACACACTCTTTGTTTTTATTCCTGCAGTATACGTACAATCTACAAATACTTCCTCTGTGTTAGTAGATACTCTGCATCAGTCTCTGGAATAAACAGTGTATGTTTCATAGTATCAAGGTGTTTTCATGTTACTGATTCAGATCCTGCCCAAGTAAGATTACCCTCCTCTCCACTGCCCCCCCGCTCAGCCGTCACATTACTAACGTTCTGTACCTGAGTGAACTCGTGTCATCATGCAGTGGAAACTAGAATTACTGCATTCCTGGCAGATGACTTTGAACCACAGTTACCGCCCTTCGGTTGTATAACCCCGCCCACCAGTCCAGTTTCTCCGACAGGTAAGTCCTGCGCAAATCAACCATTTCTTTTTCAGTGGAGACCTGGCAGAGACAGCAGCGTATGAAAAAGTTAGAGCCAAACAACAGCACAATAAAAACCAGAACAGATCTACAGAAACATGTAGAAATATTAGAACACCTGAACACAATGACAAGAACCAGCAGATTCAGTCATCCTTGTACTTTCATTTCCATAACCACTTATCCTGTTAGGGGTCACAGGGGGGTGGAGCCTATCCCAGCTGACACTGTGTGAGGGGCACGGTTCCCCCCTCTGGACAGGTCACCAGACTATCACAGGACTGACACATAGAGACAGACAACCATTCACACTCACATTCACACCTACAGACAATTTAGAGTCACCAATTAACCTGCATGTCTTTGGACTGTGGGAGGAAGCTGGAGCACCTGGAGGAAACCCACGCTGACACAGGGAGAACATGTCAGAGCACCTGGAGGAAACCCACGCTGACACAGGGAGAACATGTCAGAGCACCTGGAGGAAACCCACGCTGACACAGGGAGAACATGTCAGAGCACCTGGAGGAAACCCACGCTGACACAGGGAGAACATGTCAGAGCACCTGGAGGAAACCCACGCTGACACAGGGAGAACATGTCAGAGCACCTGGAGGAAACCCACGCTGACACAGGGAGAACATGTCAGAGCACCTGGAGGAAACCCACGCTGACACAGGGAGAACATGTCAGAGCACCTGGAGGAAACCCACGCTGACACAGGGAGAACATGTCAGAGCACCTGGAGGAAACCCACGCTGACACAGGGAGAACATGTCAGAGCACCTGGAGGAAACCCACGCTGACACAGGGAGAACATGTCAGAGCACCTGGAGGAAACCCACGCTGACACAGGGAGAACATGTCAGAGCACCTGGAGGAAACCCACGCTGACACAGGGAGAACATGTCAGAGCACCTGGAGGAAACCCACGCTGACACAGGGAGAACATGTCAGAGCACCTGGAGGAAACCCACGCTGACACAGGGAGAACATGTCAGAGCACCTGGAGGAAACCCACGCTGACACAGGGAGAACATGTCAGAGCACCTGGAGGAAACCCACGCTGACACAGGGAGAACATGTCAGAGCACCTGGAGGAAACCCACGCTGACACAGGGAGAACATGTCAGAGCACCTGGAGGAAACCCACGCTGACACAGGGAGAACATGTCAGAGCACCTGGAGGAAACCCACGCTGACACAGGGAGAACATGTCAGAGCACCTGGAGGAAACCCACGCTGACACAGGGAGAACATGTCAGAGCACCTGGAGGAAACCCACGCTGACACAGGGAGAACATGTCAGAGCACCTGGAGGAAACCCACGCTGACACAGGGAGAACATGTCAGAGCACCTGGAGGAAACCCACGCTGACACAGGGAGAACATGTCAGAGCACCTGGAGGAAACCCACGCTGACACAGGGAGAACATGTCAGAGCACCTGGAGGAAACCCACGCTGACACAGGGAGAACATGTCAGAGCACCTGGAGGAAACCCACGCTGACACAGGGAGAACATGTCAGAGCACCTGGAGGAAACCCACGCTGACACAGGGAGAACATGTCAGAGCACCTGGAGGAAACCCACGCTGACACAGGGAGAACATGTCAGAGCACCTGGAGGAAACCCACGCTGACACAGGGAGAACATGTCAGAGCACCTGGAGGAAACCCACGCTGACACAGGGAGAACATGTCAGAGCACCTGGAGGAAACCCACGCTGACACAGGGAGAACATGTCAGAGCACCTGGAGGAAACCCACGCTGACACAGGGAGAACATGTCAGAGCACCTGGAGGAAACCCACGCTGACACAGGGAGAACATGTCAGAGCACCTGGAGGAAACCCACGCTGACACAGGGAGAACATGTCAGAGCACCTGGAGGAAACCCACGCTGACACAGGGAGAACATGTCAGAGCACCTGGAGGAAACCCACGCTGACACAGGGAGAACATGTCAGAGCACCTGGAGGAAACCCACGCTGACACAGGGAGAACATGTCAGAGCACCTGGAGGAAACCCACGCTGACACAGGGAGAACATGTCAGAGCACCTGGAGGAAACCCACGCTGACACAGGGAGAACATGTCAGAGCACCTGGAGGAAACCCACGCTGACACAGGGAGAACATGTCAGAGCACCTGGAGGAAACCCACGCTGACACAGGGAGAACATGTCAGAGCACCTGGAGGAAACCCACGCTGACACAGGGAGAACATGTCAGAGCACCTGGAGGAAACCCACGCTGACACAGGGAGAACATGTCAGAGCACCTGGAGGAAACCCACGCTGACACAGGGAGAACATGTCAGAGCACCTGGAGGAAACCCACGCTGACACAGGGAGAACATGTCAGAGCACCTGGAGGAAACCCACGCTGACACAGGGAGAACATGTCAGAGCACCTGGAGGAAACCCACGCTGACACAGGGAGAACATGTCAGAGCACCTGGAGGAAACCCACGCTGACACAGGGAGAACATGTCAGAGCACCTGGAGGAAACCCACGCTGACACAGGGAGAACATGTCAGAGCACCTGGAGGAAACCCACGCTGACACAGGGAGAACATGTCAGAGCACCTGGAGGAAACCCACGCTGACACAGGGAGAACATGTCAGAGCACCTGGAGGAAACCCACGCTGACACAGGGAGAACATGTCAGAGCACCTGGAGGAAACCCACGCTGACACAGGGAGAACATGTCAGAGCACCTGGAGGAAACCCACGCTGACACAGGGAGAACATGTCAGAGCACCTGGAGGAAACCCACGCTGACACAGGGAGAACATGTCGGAGCACCTGGAGGAAACCCACGCTGACACGGGGAGAACATGTCGGAGCACCTGGAGGAAACCCACGCTGACACGGGGAGAACATGTCGGAGCACCTGGAGGAAACCCACGCTGACACGGGGAGAACATGTCGGAGCACCTGGAGGAAACCCACGCTGACACGGGGAGAACATGTCGGAGCACCTGGAGGAAACCCACGCTGACACGGGGAGAACATGTCGGAGCACCTGGAGGAAACCCACGCTGACACGGGGAGAACATGTCGGAGCACCTGGAGGAAACCCACGCTGACACGGGGAGAACATGTCGGAGCACCTGGAGGAAACCCACGCTGACACGGGGAGAACATGTCAGAGCACCTGGAGGAAACCCACGCTGACACGGGAAGAACCAGAGAGGAAACACCAACCACCCTCCACTCCACTAGGGGAGAGCGGACCCCAAGCCAGCACCAGCGCCACAGAACCAGCGGTCACCCACAGATTTTAACATTTCAATATAATTTGCAAAGTAGGGTTCTAAATAGAGTTGTAAAAAGATATATCTACCCAATATATCTAATATCCAGTAAAGCTGAACTAGTAATGACACTGCACGTAGATGAACTATGTTAAGAAAAAGTAAAGATGTCAGCTAATTTTTAAAATTTTAGCTAATATGCTTGAAACAGCGTTTTTGTGTCAGTAGGTTTATTGTGGCTTGTAAAATAGAGTTGTAAAAAGATATATCTACTGAACATATCAAATATCTAGTAAAGCCGAACTAGTAATGACACTGCACCTAGATGAACTATGTTAAGAAAAAGTTAGGATGATGGTTAATGTCAGATATTTTAACAAGTTCTCTAGAAACAGCGTTTTTTGGACTGTGATTGTTCCGGTTGTAGAGTTTTCAAATAGTGTCGTAAAAAAGTAAATCTACTGAATATATCAAATATCTAGTACAGCCGAACTATCATGTTATTATTACTGTTGGTGGGAAATTATAACAGCGGAATATATTTGCCGTTTTAATATCAAGAACACTTCCGTGTTTTTGTGTGTGTACAGGAATTCGTGTGGACACCACGACAATGGATCCTAACTGACTTCACATTGGCATTATTTCTGTGGTACACGCGCATAATTTCAACCCATTACGTGCTGCCACCACGGAATGCAGCGTTAAGAGGTCGTGGTCATTTCACATATTTCTGTGAGATCAGGTTGCGCCCAGACGTAGTTTCAGCTCTTCCACGTCAGTCCGAGAACCAGGAACAGACAACTCAAACTGTAGTTGTATAATTGCCTAGAGTTGGTTGGTGTTCTCACGGCAGCATTTACAAGAGGACCAGATCAAATGCCTTGTGTGAGAAAGCTGCTCTTAATTGGTCAGAATTTCCATGTGGGAAAAATCCAGGAAGTAAAGCAAACGTTGAAGAAGAGTACACTTGCAAGATAAATGTGACACTTTCTAATGTCACAATGGAGGGACAACTACGCAGGTTGATTTTAGCGCTGCTCATCGTGGACTATATTGCTGTCATTGTTCATTTTAGTCAAACCATACAGTTTGAAAACGAGGCGCGGCTCCAACTAGAAAACANGTAAATCAACTCAGAGTTCAGGGTTAGACTCAGAGTTTGTTGAACCTCCTACCTGGAATACTCCTCTGCACAAACCAACCTGAGTTAGACTGAACCGAATCAAACAGGATAGGTGTGAACGCACCCTGAGCCTATGAAAGGTCAAAGATGGCCTCAGCCTCAGATTTTTAAGAAGATCATCAACCTGAGGTTTAAAACAAACGGAGTCATAGAGCCAAATACTGAGATATTTATAACACGTGACGACCTCTAACGTCTTTCCCTGAGCAGTGAGAACATCAGGAGTGTTCACAGGCTTCTTCCCAGCATTACAGAAATGTATGATCTTAGTTTTATCAGCATTTAAAAGCAGCTTTAGTTGTGAAAGCTGAATCTGGATAACGTTAACGACAGCCTGCAGTTTGGCCACAGCCTCTGTGATGGATGAGC